TGCAAGACTGTGCTGATTGGCACCCCAGGGTAACCTGCTGAGTTGTACACTGAGCTTGGAGTGTACAAGTGAGCTTGAAGTGTGAGTGAGTTAGTTATTGTTTCTGTTCCTCTATTTCCCCACCTCCAGCATGGGGTTAAAAAGTTTTGTTGCTGCTTTATGCTTTTTGGTCTGTGGGCAGCAGGGAACTAATATCTGTGTCAACAAAGCAACACTAGTTCCAGTTTTTAGGGGGCAGTGATGATTTGTAAAACCATGAGGAAGAGCAAGGGAGGAAAAGCAAGGGAAAATTAGGAAATCAGGAAACAGAAAGAACTAGCAAACTAGCCCACCTTGCAGAAAATGTATTTATATTGATGTCCACTGCGTACTGGTAATAACATTACTAATTCCAACACGTTGGCTTTCATTTTTAAAAACAAGAAGCTTATGAAGTTTCAGTAATTATCTTAGGTTGATCTGGGAGTATATTCTTTTCCTGGAGCTAGGTAGCATTTTAAATCTGCAAAGGATTAGACAGACACAATCAGTTCGAATATTTGTCCAGCTATTGAAAGGAGGATCCTCACTTCCGCCTGTGATGAGGCTCTGGAAATCTCCATCTCCATCATTGTTCAGCAGCTAAGTGAAGATTGCATGTTGATTACCCTTTCAGTTGCCTTTAAGCAGCTTATGTGAAATGTTAAGTTCTAAGTTACCTAAAATCCCTACTTTTTAATTTGTTCCCTGGCTTGTGTGCAGCGAGGCAAATCTCTGTGTGTTTGTATGTGCACACACAAGTGCTTACATGCACCCTGATCAGAAAAGCTCCTTCCAAACATGAACTGCACTGACTGCACTGAGCAGAGCTTAAAACTTAAAAAAAGGTGCAGGTGAACAGGAGCAGGCATTCCCATTAATCTTCACGAGATCATGAAAAGAAAAATAACAGTCTGCCTGCTTAGCTGAGTCAAATTGTAGCTATGCAACTTAGCACAAAGCATCTGAGTTTCTGTACTTCCATTTAAAGCTGATTCCACTGCCTCCCTCACATTTTGAGATCCTCAGAAAAAACAGGATGATCTATTATTATAGATTAATATACTTATTATAATAATTATATTATAGGGTGGTTTTTGTTTGTTTTGGTTTGTGGTTTTTTTTATTGACAAACCCAGGGTTCATTCCTGGGCTCACATGGGCACACAGCTTTTGTGATGGTTTTGCTGAGCTCCATCTCCAGACAAATATTTGCGATTGGAGTTTTTTCTTTCAAATATTACAACTTTTAAGAAGGTGTTAGCTTCCTTGTTGCAAATCTTATCTTTGCTTTTGTTTGTATTTAATTGCTTGGGAATAGAATGAACCATTTTCAGAGCTCACGGGAGGCTTGAGTGCTGAGTTGCTTGTTACACCATACCTTCACCTGACAGTTTTGACCATAATTTTCAGTGCTTCTGTGGCTTCTCACTGGCCTGTATTTTCATATCTGCATGTGTTCCATTTTGGTATTTTGTAGCAGAGCATCAGCTTGTATGAGCAAGGTATCATTTAACAATATTGACTCACTGCATTGAGAGAAATCCTTTGAGGTTTATTCCCAAGGCACTGAAAGCCCATCCGACCTCCCAGTCTGAAATGACTCTCACAGTATCATCAGGGCATTTTATGTACAACCCCTACAGAGGAAAGTTTTTACACCCTTCTGCATTTCTGAGGATAAAGGGGAGCAGAGCCTGTGGGAAGCTGGAGCTATTTTCCTGCAACCTGCATCTTAAGGAGCCACTTAAGAACTATGTTTGAAGACAGCAGGCTTATGGCTGCTCCACAGACAATCCCAATAATAGTAGGGGAATATTTGACTAAATAATGTCAAATGTAGAGACACCACAATGGGTTTCCACTGTGTAGTTTTGCCCAACATGAGAGGCAGACACACTTGCCTTCTATGAAGTTGAAAGAGGCACTTGACAAAGTTGGTGGTGTACCAGTGAGTTTAAATATAATCGGGGCCCTCACCTTCTCAAGCAGTGGAATAATTTATTTTCACATGGCTTAAAACACAAATTATTTATAGCCAAGGAAAGAAAAGTAGTGGGGGGGGGATACAGACTTTTTGCAATTTCTCTGAACCAGTTACACATGATACATACGGCTGGATACTGCTCTCTTCCAAGTGAAATGCAGCAATGTGCTGCTCTCCACAGAGTGAAATAATTTTTACATGCCCTGTCAGTCTCGCTATGACCATGGAAAGAAATACAGTGAAAGCAGAGACATTGGCACTGTTTATGTTATTTAGAATGTTTTTGCAGCTAACAGTTTTGACCTCTATTCTGTTTTGATGGTCCCTGTTTCAAAAGGTCATGTCATGTTTTCCAGTTAGAAGAAATGAATAAATACTTTCTTTTCCTGTGGACTCTCCCAGGTTTTACTCAGATCCTGGTTCAGAATTATTCCAAAGAATTTCTGGTGTAAAGCAAATATGCTGCATTGTCAGTGGAATTGCAGTTATTAACAGCCTAAATTCTGCACTCTGATGCCAGCAAGGTTTTATTTTTGCTCCTCACGGTTGTGAGAGACACAGAAAAGAGACTGGAATTTGGAATTTAACATATGAAATCCAGGGGCCATCATTTAAAACATCAGTCGTTACTCCAGAATGGTGTTTGACAGGCTGCAAGCGATTTCGATTTCTATTTCAAGCAGTCTCAGGCAGCAGAGTGGCCCAAAGGTCATGTTTTTCTTATCCCAGGTAAAAGATACTTTCTTTATGATGGATGGCTGTTCTGTGTGTTTATGATGCACAATATATTAGTAATTTTAATTCACAATTCCATTTGTCCCACAGTTTTGTCAGGGCAAGCTAAACTGTGGTTAGGTACACCTGTGCTCTGCTAAAGGATGGGACCTTTTGTGGTAGTCCATCCTACCACAGTCCCAGTTGCACGTTAGGGAGCTGGGAGGAATCACTTCTACAAAAGGAAATGCCAGGCTGCAGGAATTGGGCTAAAAATTCTTCTGTTTTCACTGCCAGTCTTGACTAGTGCAGATGATCACAGCTGAAATCAAATGGGTTGCTGGCTCCAATCTCATGGTGTTACAAAGAGTGACCTTCAGTGTGTTCTTCACCAGATCTACCAGGTTGGGAGCCCAGGGTTATCTGTTGTTGCTCAGCCAAATGCCAGAACTGGAGTACCCCAGACAACAGACAGACTCCTGATTTTGGGGCACTTGGAGAATTGAGAAACACAAATGTTTGAGCTGGCTTTGCCAAAGCACTCAGTTCCACAGTTGCTGCCTACAATTTACCCTCATTCTTCTAATTGGGTTGAATGCAAAAGCCACTCCTCTGCAGAACCAGACACAAAAGTAATAGCAGCAGTATTAGTTCAATGAGAACAAATTTCCCATCTCTTTGCCATAAGTGTGACTCATAAGAAAACCTTTATAACAATATACATTGATCTTGCTTATTTGTGCCCTGGACATGTTTCTGTCAGTGTGTGTGCAACAAAGTGCTCTTTAGAAAGGATGGCTGAAATTGCCTCTCAGCTGTTCCAATTTTTAGATTTACCACCTGACTCCTCTTGCTGCTGTTTATATTTTACGTGCAGAAGTGTGGTAAGTGCCAAGCCACTTTCCCATGTTGGAATTATATGTTTCCAAAAATTAATGAGTTACTTTCACTAAGAATCCTCCTAAATTCAAAAAATTTTAAAGCATGCTCTTCATTCACTCTTGTCTTGCTGGTTTTGTTAAATTCCCATCTTCATGTATTAGACCTAGGCATCTAGATTTGCATTTTGCAAGATTTGCTCTTTAAATGGCCAGCTGTTACCTCAAAGTTTCAAAGATCTTATAGCAAGAAGCTTTGTGAAAGGAAACATTACTCTCCATTTAGTTCCCTGAAAAATCTTGTTTTCAATTCCAGAAGTGGGAAGCTATGGCTCAATGTCATATTACTTCTTCACTGTATGCATTCATAAAAAGAGCTATTTTTGGCACTGTTCTTCTCCTGAAAAATAATAAAAGTACTTTTTTCCCTCTTTTTCAAATAAACATAGATCCATGGTTTTATAATTGGGGGAGGATGGAAAGATACCCTGTATTTCAAATGAGGTTTTGTGGCCTGTTATATACTTATTTCACAACCTTTTATGGATTGGAAAAGGGATTGGTCGTTCCAGATCTTCAGAACCTTTGGGAGAAGTTAAAAGGAGTGGGAAGTAGAATCATCACTATGAAATTCAGAACAGAGGCCTTATCAAGTTCATCAGTCCACTTCATAATCACTGTTTGAAGTAAGAGCCATTCATCTGTCCTTCATACATATACATGTATATATATATGGCTTTCAAATAAAGGCAATAGGTGCTCTGTCTCCAGAATAACTGAAGAAGCAACATTTCACATGCACTCAGTTCCTTTTCTGCTATATCAAGTGAGAGAAGTTTGATACATGAAAATGGGTGACATTCTGTGTCACTGTGTCACTGAATAACGAGTGAAATAGCATATAATTGCTTATCCTGAGAAAATGTATCCTTGCATTTGTTTGTTTAAGGGTGATGGAAGTATTTCTTCAGAATTCAAGTATCTTTTACTTCATGTCTGTTACTACTTCAAATTTTTGTGTGTTCTTATGTTTTGTTAGTTCCTATGCACGGTAAAACGATTCATGTGATTCCCAGGCTGAAGTCTGCTGTCAGGCAGAGTACTCCATCTCCAGAGAAGCTTCCCTGAATGTTCCCTAACACCAAAGTACCTCAGCTTGGGTCATCTGTTGGTTCCAGTTCTGAGAGAAACACCTCTGTCTTCTGAACAGCTCAGCCCATAGCTCTCCTTGTAAGCCTTGTAAGATAGGTCTGGCCAGGGACACCTCTGACCAGCCTGGTTCCTGACAGGGACAGCAGCCTCCTTGGGGATCTGAACATTCCTGTATTCCTGCCCTAAAATTGCTGTCACAAATCAATTTTTTTGCTATAGTGAACTAAATCTTTGCCATTGATTCTTTGCAGATATCGATGAGTGTTTGGTAAACAATGGTGGCTGTGACCATTTCTGCCGAAACACGGTTGGCAGCTTTGAGTGCAGCTGCCAGAAAGGCTATAAACTGCTCACAGATGAAAGGACCTGCCAAGGTAATACCTCATTAACCTTACTCTTCATATAATGAGAATGTTATTTCCAGTGGATTTTTTTTGTGGTTGTTTTTATGCTTAAATAATTTGTACTGCAGGTTTTAATTGTACTGACATAAGAAGTAAGATGAGAAAACACCTGTGAGATTTCTGTTTTCTGAGGTGGGATTAGAAGATTATTGGAAATGTCTTGTTTCAATGTTTTTAGTAGTAGGAATGCCAGTGCCCTGTTGAAGTGTAAAAATCCAAGTGGTGTAGTGGAATAGCCTCAGGCAGAGAGTCTTATTTTCAAATCCTCTCATTTGCTATGATCTGAATGGGAGAGAGGCTTATCTTATTTAGACCAGAGTCATCCAGAATAACTGACTGTAATACAGCATTTGCAAGATTTGAACTAAAAAAAATGGGTTTAATTTGTAAGCTCACTTTTGCCTTAGAGAAACTGTTTATGAAGGGATAATGGTGGCATTTTGTGGGAATTCAAATGAAGTATGTTTTGTATTGTTTGCTATGTGTGTCATGATTTGTTACCTAAGTCATCTGATGTTAGGTATTCTGTGACTAATTAGGTGCATAACCATTTCCAAGTACTGACCATGTACCTTTGGAGAAATGACATTTAAATTCTGTATATTTACTTTTTAAAAAGCTCATAGAAAAGGCTAGAAAGATGAGCATGCATCAATAGAGAAAGGGAAGGATGACGTATTCAATTAAAATTTTGCACAGAAAATACCATTTTATTAATACATGATTATTTGCATGAGTTTTGAGTAAGTAAAAGTTATGAAGTCCAGAGCAGCATTAGTATTTTAGATCTTTTTTGTTTATCTACGAAGGAGAAACCACAATCTGAAGATATATGTGTCATTCAGAATTCTTCCATTGCTTCTCATTGTTACTTCCATCCATCATTTGAGAAGCCACCTCTACCTTGACTGTGTGAATAGACACAGAGGAATTGGTGAAAAGTTGATTTTAAGCTGGACAGGATGGGAAGAGCTGAGATTAGCACAGCTCATACCACATGATTCAGCAGAAATAACACTGTAGGATCATGTCAGACATGGTGAGGTTGCCAGGTTTTGATTTACCTGCTAAAAACATGGACAGAATATTAAAAAGAAACGTTCCCTTCATGATGTATTTAGAAATGGTTGGGAAGGCCTTGTTCATTAATTTCATGTGGTATCAGTCAGAGGTTTCACCATGGAACTAATTGTTATTACACCATGAAAAAACTCAAGAGAAGTTAGGCAGGTGCTGGTGCAGAATTTATTTGTTCATGATGCATAGGATTAATAGTAGGCTGTAAAAATTCCCTGTAAATAATCAGGTTTCTGTGATGATAGTGAGACTCTAGAAGCAGCTCTGTAAATGCTATTCAAGTGAGTTTTGTTTCTTCATGTGCCAGAGCTCAAAAATGAGAAAGCCACCACTAACAATACATAACAATACACACCATGCAAGGACTAAGGCAGGAGTCATGGAAGTATAACCATGGTTTGGGCATCCTGCTTTTCCCATTGTTAGTGAGGAAGGGCCTACAATCCATCTTGCCTCTACACGATACACTGATTGATAAACTCTAGCTTACCTGTTGCTGTAAAAGATAGGTTAGTGCAAGCCCAGAGAGTTTTTGGGCTGGACAAGTTCCTCCATCCCAGAAACTCTGGCTCTTCCTAACATGAAATGGGGAGGACAAAGTAATTTCCTGTTTAAAACCTGAGGTATTTGGGCCCCAGCAAACATGCTGTGATGTCTGCTTTGTGGAGAGATCACTGTGATAATTTAGTTCCTGTTTGGTGCTTAAGGTGATAATTGGTGACTCATGCAGTCAGTATTAGCCTGCTAATAAAGAGAGAAGGAAAGTGAATGCAGAGCAAGAAATTGCTGATGTATGAATCACCTGCACTTTGCTTCTTCCCCTGTGAGAAGAATATAGTCAGGGGAAGTGGTTATAGTTCTTAATGTCAGGTCCATCAGGAAAATATGGTTTGGGGTTAGTGACTCTTCTGGGATATAAATCATCCACATTTTGGTTTTTTGTAACAGCCGGTCAACACTGACTGTAAAACATTAATGAGAGATTCAGGGAAATTTATTTTAGGCATATTAGCCTTTCCAAAGAGTGAAACAGAACAGTCTAATTTCTGTTTATAAAAGATGCTGTTGTGCATGTTGCATCTGTTGTTTTGATTCATAATAGAGTTTCCATGATTTATGATCTTTCCGTCAACATTGCCCTTCTCTTCTGGTTTTCATTTTTTAAAATAAAGATTTCTTTCAGTTACTAATCAACATGTTTACAAAACACTCATTTAGGACCTTAGGAGTCTGCCTTGTTTGGGACTGGGTCCTATTTATTTCAGGTGGCCTCCCCAGTGTATACAGCATTTCTCTCCAAACACGTTCATCATTAATATCAGCACAAGGCAATTCTACACATTTCAGTATAAAATGTTCCTTCATTCTGAAATTCTGAAGTTGTCCCACATCACCTAATTTCCTTCATGTCCTTTCATTGTAGACCTCAGAGCTGACTTGGAGATTACAGGGCAATTGTATTAGTCACAGACTTTGTTCTGGTTGTTTGCAGAGCTCCCACCCCACTCATACCAAGTGCCTTCCCCACATTCATGCTCTGTGTGAAGAGAAAGTATTTCTCTTTCAGTTTTTAGGCAGGAAGGGTGAAGCCAAATATAGCAGCTTGCCTAAGATCACACATACAAATGCCTGGACTGCCCAGAGAGCAAATCTCCAATTTTGGTAATTCTGCCCCTGCTCATTTGCCCATAACAAGGTATTATTTTTCTCTTGTGTTTGTGCTTATATCCTGATACGGGAATTCCTTGTTTTTTTTCAAGAACTCTGAAGCTTGGTGCTCTCTTGGTGCCACCCTGCATGTTGAGTGCCTGTATAAGCAGCCCTTGGCTTTGGAAAGGGCCTTAAAAATGTTCTGCATTTGTCTGTTTACAGCTAAACCATTTTTAGCCCTGGCTGCAAAGAAAACCATTGTCAATCACAGATTACTTCTGCTAGGGAGTGGTTCTCACGCTGTGGCTCCTTGTTAGACAAGGAGAATGTGGGGGGTTCTCTTCCTTTCCCCTCCCCTGCATTCCAACTATTTTAAAAGGAAACTTCTTTGTAGCCCAGAAGGTGAAGAATCCATACTGCCCTGCCAGTAACGTTGTGGAGACTGATACTGTTTTCCCAAAGTCTCTTTTTTCACTCAGACTTAAAAATAGATTTCCCCACCCTCCCCTTTGACAGGGAAATCACTGTATGACAATACCAATCCCATCTATTGTGTATTACTTTAATTGATCCCTTAAGTCTAAGGTATTGTAAATACTGTGGAACAGGAAGAAACAGTTGGATCTGCTTGTATAAACCTAGCAAAAAGAGGTCTGCATCTCCTTTGAACATGTAGTAAAAATAACATAGCTATATTTATGGCAAGGAGAGCTTGTGTTTGTAACCTTTTTGGTAATTAATAGAAGGACAACAACTCAGATCAGTTCTAGAGTGATATCAGCAACAAGCAAGCAGGCAAGACTTGCTGCAGTGAAATAACATTGCAATGAATGTGTGTAAGCTCAGACATAATTACCTTAATCCTCAGCCAGTATGAGTTTTAGAGCAAGTTAACTTAATTGCTTATTCAGTTTCTGTTTGTTGTGCAGTGATCTTGAAAAAAAAATCAACAATAAGCAGTGTCTCTGCTCTGCTCAAGTTCAAGCTTCATTAAGCACGCAGAAAAATGTGTGAAATTCTATAGTAAATAATTTTCTCTTCCTGCTCTAGGCATTGCTTTTTGCAAAGCAAGACAGGGAAAGACAGCGCACACATTTGTTAAAATCTCTCGGGGGAGTGGTAGAGATCGAAAGAAAAAAGTAAGAAAAAGTGCTTTTAGTGGGAACACCCAGTAATCAGTGTGAAATATTTTGGGCTGCTAAATCCACACTCACTCTCTACCCCTCACCACTTCAGTTCAAAATAGAGACAAATCCTCCTATGCTGAGGAATTTAAATTTCTGCAGGGGGCAAAAGCTCAAGGCATTTGCATCATTCTGGTCCACTTATAGCCTCCAGAATAGGCTTTAAGTAGGGTTTGTTGATATCACAGATATGATAAAGTCTACTCAAGTTGCCTTCTCACCAACCATTTGAATTGATAGAGCCACTGTGTGAAAGGAGATGACTGTCCACCAGGGCATGTGGGATACCTCCATGGGCCACCTGGCTTTTTTGGGCCTTCTTTAGAGCCATGGATGACAGCATTTTTTATTTGCTTTGAAGTGTTGCCTGTTTGACTGTTGGTTATTCTTTACTGCCTTCCTACCAGATTTTAAACAAATGTAATTGACCCTTTTGTAGCCAGGCACTGGAACACAGGATCTCACAATCTGCTGTTGATATTGCTGGTGTCTGTCCAAAGGAGATTCAGGGATGCATGTTGCTACAGTGGGAAATCCCAAGCAGAATTTGCCCCACTGCTTCATGAATAACTGAATTTTCCCTCTGGTGATTTTCTACAGACACTTTTTCCTATATTTGGATAGCTACAAAGCTCTCCAGTAGAGGTCCAAGGAGAGCTGATTTGAGGTGGTTTTCCCTCTCACTACAAGGCATGAGCATTAACACCATCATATTTGATATTTGTACTTTTCTTTCATTGAAAACAAATGTTCTTCTTATGCCCCACTGTATCCCCCTTTCCTCTCTCCTCAGCCTCACTTCCAGACAAATGTTCCTCAAGACTTGATGCTCATGGAGTGGAGCAACTGAGAGTAATAGCCTAGAGCAGTGAGCAGATAATTGAATTTACTTAGTAACTCTGGCAGCATTTCCTGCAATACACCTCAAACCTTGTCCAGCTCTGGATTTTTTGTTTCCTGGATTTTTTTGTTTGTTTTTTGTTTTTTTATCTGTACATGTCTGTCAGTAGAGGGATGCTTTACATATGTTTTCCAATGCCTAGTGTCAGGAGAAGCCTT